ATCTTGTTTATTATGTCATAAAATTCACAGACTCTGGAACTTTGCTTGTGGAAGCACAAATGATCCTTTGAATGCTGTAAGACCCAGAAAGTGGTAGAGACACAGAAGAAAAAACTAGGCTTTTAATGAAATGGGAGAGGCAGATAGAAACCAGCATGTATGTGATGCAGTTTCAGTTTCTGAAGAAAAACAACAAATACGTAAAAGGTCAGCATGGCCAGTGAAACTGAAAGCTAAGAACTCAGATGAGGCAATCACAGAGGGTGATGAAAGAGAGGAACATCTGAGATAGGAGGAGAACAAGAATGGCCTGGTGAGAAAAGGAAGAAGACTAATACCAAACACACGCAGCCAAAGATCCTGGGGTAGAAATAACCCATCTGAAGGCGGGCTCTTTATCGCACAAAACTACATCCAATCCCTAAGAGGTACTGCCCCGTGGTATGACAAGGCCAAAATGTCATCCTGGGAATTGCCGCTAATTAAACTCAGGATTGAATCAACACTACTGAAGAGGCCAGGGAGATTCCCATGGTGCTGCCACTAATCAGGGCCTTTACAGAAAACTCCCAACAAGATGGGAGGACAGAGACAAGCTTGAACTCTGCATCTGCCTTCTAGAGAGAAAGCCAGTGATGCTGCTTTGCCAATGGTTATGCTGAAATGGTGGTTCCGGGTGACCGCCAGGAGACCTCCAGGAGAGTAGGGGTACTAGGGGTAGGTAAGGAGGGTGACTGAAATTTAAAACAAGGTGTCAGCAAAGGCATTACTGAGAAGATGACATCTGGGTAAAGACCACAAAACAGGTAAGGAAGTTGGTCTTACAGTTATCAAAAGGATGAGTGACTACACAGAGAGAAAGAAAAGTGTCTTAAGCAGGAACGATGCCGATGTACAAGGTTCCCCCAGCAAGGAGGCCAGTGTGATTGAGAATGAGCAGATGGGACTGAGGTCAGGGAGACAGGATGGGTCATGCAGGTTCTTCTGGGCCACTGTAAGGACTGTGGGTTCAATTGAGAGAAGATGGAAATCCAAGAAAATATAATTATGTAAAATGACATGATCTGACACTTCTATTCCCCTTCTCTGGGTTTACTTTTCTCTATAGTATTTCTCATTGTCTGAAAAAGTAAAAATGTTATATATTTATCTCTACCCATTAGAATGCAAGCTCTGTGAGGGCAGGTATTTTTTGTCTGTTTTGTTCACTGATGTAGATTCATTTCCCCAATGTCTGGCACTTAGTAGATAATCAGTATTTATTGAATGAATGAAACATCTTGAGAACCAGGAGAACTCTTTCCTAAATGGCAAAATGAATGCAGACAAAGAAAATCTTGCTTCTATTTCCTCGGCAGGTCTGTTTTAAAATAAGTGTTATGAGGCTGAAACAAAAAATATTTACTATCTCTTTTAGGTACTTGGGAGGGGCCCTAAAACTAAATATGTTTCTAATTTCTAATAATTGGATGCCACGGTTCAGGGGGAAACCACAGAAGCATGAACAGTTTGAGAGATGTTACATTTATGGGATTCATTCATTAAACACATATTAAGTAACAGAATCTAAGAGATCCTCAATACTGAGATTTAAAATGCACCAGATTCCAGAGCTACTGCCTTTCTGGGTGGGGCAGGCAGGTCATTCTCAAGGCAGGAAGAAAGATGTGGTGGTGGGGAGGGGAGCATTTACTAAGTACACTTGTTCCCTCCCTATCAGGATGACGACTCTCCTTTGAAAACCACTGAACCAGGTGATTCTCAGAGTACCCCAGCTGCAAAAAGTTTGGGATTCACTGGTAAAAGAAAATGTGTCATTTTTTTCATATAAAAGTTTTCAACATACCCATAGTTTAGGATCCAGAAAGTTTTTTGTAACCGGTTTAGATGTCTTTTCATGATACTTAATGTTTCCAGATCAATCTGGACTCAATACATGACAAAAATGATTTCTGTTCACAATGGAAAAGGATGCAGGTAAAATATAATTGAAATTTAATACAACAAAATGAAAATGTATTGAAAATAGGAAGGGAAAAGGGGGATATGGTGGGAGAGGACGATGTCCAGTACCTGTTGACAGAGGAGTCAGTAAAGAAACCCATTTTCCCTGTGGAAGCAAGGCTCCCACGCACTCTCTACCACCATTAGCCCTTTCCCCAGTAAGTTCAAAAGTTCTTTGTGAGCTCACACCAGTCATTTAACTTCGGTGAGTCCCTATTGCTTCACTGTACAAAAGGGCTACCTTACAAATCCCACTCATCGGGGGTTAGATAATATAATACACGGAGAACACTTAGCACAATGCCTGGACCACAGGAAGCCCTCACCCTCAATAAACGTCAGCAGTGGTGATAACACTGCCTGTGGAGATTTTATTTTCCAAAGATACATGTCTGTGCAGTCATCCTCAGAAAATAATACATCATGGAGCAGTCACACAGAGAGAGGGATGTGCCCGAGGAGCCCAGGAATCTCAGACTAGACCCAGCACATGAGAGTCAGCTTGCGAGCCTCCAGATGATTCCCCTAGACTTCCAGCCTCCCCTGCTGATGCCAAGTGGAATGGAGACAGGCTACGCTGCTGACCAGATTCCAAATTCCTGACTCACAGAAACTGTGAGAGATAAACGATTACTGTTGTTTGAAATCGTTAAGTTTTGGAGTAGTTTGTCACTCAGCTTTAGACAACCCGGACATGCCATTAACTGGCTCGCTTGTTCACATCTAATATAAAAACCACATCATGTTAATTTTTTTGTTGTTTAAAAAGAGATTTGAATGGTTCCACATCATGCACAGGATAAAAAGAACCTGGAGGCTCCTTGACAGACTGTGAGACTCAAGGCAGGGATTATATCTTGTCCACCAGTGAATTCCCAGTACCTCAGCAGTTCCTCATCTAGTAAGTGACTTCACTGGCTGGGATGAAACCAGATGACAGGGAAAGAGCAAACAAAGAAGATGAACTATGAAAACCAGGTATTCAACAAGTATAGACAAGGCTCCTTCCATGCAGTGCTGGGGATACTATTGTCCAGCTGCCCTCATGGAGTCTGTGAGAGGAACCAACAATAAATACATAAATAGCATTTGTCACCCTCTGAAATTCTGAAAAAACACATCCGAGTAATGGAAAGGAGCTGGGTGAGTATGTGTCAGAGGTGGGGGACAGGGTGGGATATTTTGTTAAGGTAGTAAGGAAACTCTCTGAAGATACAACATTTCAGCTGAAACCTGCATGACTGTGAAGCCATGGAAAGATCTGGGAGAATAAAGGAACAAGAATGCCTTAGCAAGTGCAAAAACCCTAGGGTGAGAAGGGACATAAAACTCTGCTTTGTGCTTCCATGATGCTGTGGGGCTTGGGTGGTTCAGTGTGCATGCACAGATTTCTTGCTTAGAAAGTCTAATATATAAACATTTGAACTTTGTAAACTGAAATTAGGGTCTGATTATGGTTTATTGGCCAACATTTTAACAGATACTTTTGTAATTAGTACATTTCTGCATTGGACATCTTTGCCCCACATCACTCCTCTTGGCACTGACATTCCAGCCCTTGCTGACAGAATCTCACTTCAACTGCACCGTCATCATGTGCTTTCCACTCTGGGCCTTCTCTGCCACCATGTGGAATATGTGTAGGAAACCCGTGAGCCATTCTGACAAATGTGCAGTCCCATGATAGACTTAACACCCCATGGGGCAACATTTGACCAGTAGGGGATGGGGGAAAGTGGACAAATAACGAATATCACCCACCCCAATTTATCTAGTAGCCAATTTTAAGGCACATTCTTGGAGGGTGTCCTGTGGGAACAAGTCCCAGTTGCCCACAATGGTGACCAAGTTGATGCACAAACTTTGGATTGGGTTTCCTTCATTCCCTATTAACTCTTACCCGTCTCAAATGCTGTTCTTTGGGATTATTCCTCAAAATAAACTAATTGCCCCTAAGCCCCTGTCTAGGCTCTGCTACTTTAAAGAACCAGTCTATGACAGCATTTAAATTTCATTTACAAAAATATGATTTAGGCTGGGCATGGTGACTCATGCCTGTAATCTCAGCACTTTGGGAGGCCAAGGCAGGAGAACTGCTTGAGCCCAGGAGTTCGAGACTAGCCTGGGTAACATAGTGAGAACCTCACCTCTACAAAAAAATTAAAAAACGAGGTGGAGGATTGCTTGAGGCCAGGAGGCCAAGGCTGCAGTGAGCTGTGACTGCACCAATGCACTCCCGTCTGAGTGACAGAGACCCTGCCCCTCTCTCTCTCTCTCGCTCTACATATATATATATATGCATGCATATATATGCATATATATACACATATAATTGATATTCAATTATTTAAGAATATTATTAACCCTCTAAAGCAAGTGATCTTCTAGGAGTCTAGACAAGGCTAACAGAATACTGGGCTTTTCCTGTCTAATTCCACCCTAAATTTTCTTTTAATATTTGACTTTTTTTTTTTTGAAGTAGGTGATATCTAATGTCCAGAGGCACTTTTCTCAAAGGTGTATGGTGGCATTTACTCCTTTAAATTCATAACCACAAACTTTAAGTGGGCCTTTAATGCTGCAGGCAATCTATGTGTCCCTCCTCTATTAATCTCCCAATTTCCTGATGGACTATTTCTTATCTTTTCTCTCTCTTAAACCCTCAAACCACCTTCCCCATCCTCACTCTCAGCTGCTTCCTATTCCACTGAGAAAACAGGCATCAGAAGAGAACTCACACACACTCTCACCATATCTACTCCCCCTATACTCTCTGCTTTCTCTATGGGCACCACAGTGAACCACAGATGTCCCCACACATGATCTGCATCCCATCCTTCGTTGCCCTACTTGAGGATAACACCCCAGACATTCTTTTCTTTCCCTTATATCATCAACTTTTGCTCTCTGATGGACAGCTCTCATTAGCACACAAAAATATCCTTAATACTATCTTTTTTAAAAATGAACACAATACAAGTTCTCTTGATCCTCACCTTGATCCTCTTCTCTTCTCTATCTCTACTCATGCTCTTGGTGATCTCATTCAGTCTGTGGCTTTAGACCATCTCTACGCTTTTGAATTTGAGACCTTTTTCTCCTCACCTCCAGTCTCATATCCAACTGCTTACTCTGTGTATTCATTTCATATTCCTGTGGTAACAAATTATGACAGACTTAATGGCTGAAAACAACACAAATGTATTATCTTATCGCTCTGCAGGTCAGATATCCATCTCCCTGGGTAGAAATCAAGGGGTTTGCAGGGTTGTGTTCCCTTCTTGAGGTTATAGGGGAGAATTTGTTTCCTTGCCATTTCCACCTTCTAGCAGCCGGCCACTTTCCTTGGCCAGTGGCCCCCTTCCCCCATCTTCAAATCCAGCAACGTTGCATCTCTCTGGCCATTCTCCCATAGTCACCTTGGCCTTTGACCACCATGGGAAAGACTCTACTTCTAAGGACTTGTGTGACTAGGTTGGGCCCACCAGATAATCCAGGATCATCTCTCCATCTCAAAGTTGTTAACTTTAAGCATCACAATCACAATGTCCCTCTGGCTACCAAAAGTGACATATTCACAGGTTCTGGGGATTAGGCTATGAACATCTTTATGGGTCATTATTCTGCCTACTACACTCTGCATCTTCAACTGGATGTTTAACAGACATGGCACACTCAGTATGTCCAAGCTGACTTCCAATTCTCCCTCCACCACAGATCTCTCCACCCAAAGTTTTCTGCATCTTGGTTGATAACAACTCCATTTTTCTAGCTATTCAGGCCTGAACCCAAGGAATCATCCTTAACTCCTCTCCCTCTTACATCCTGAATCTAAGTCACAAAGAAATGGACTTTGTCTTTAACACATATCTAGAATCTGATCACTTCTCACCATCTCCACTACTGCTGGTCTGAGTCATCACGTATTAGGATTCTTGCTATCACTTCCTAACTGGTATCCCTGCTTCTCCCCTTCCTCTTTACAGTCTACTAGAGTCTATTTTCTGAGCAGCCTTCAGCCAGTTTAAGCATGATCCTTTTAAAAATTATGTCAAATAATATTGCTTCTCTGATCAAAATGCTGCAGTGACTTCCTGGCTCACTCGGAACAAAAGCCAAAGCCCTTCATGGTCTCCACCCTCCACCCAGGGTGGAGGGCCTATCTGACCCTATCTCCTACTCATCTCCCTGCTCTCTCCCCTCCAGCTACCCCTCACCACCCCTCAAACACTCAGGTGTACCTCCCCTTAGGACTTGGCTCTCGCTATTCTTTCTGTCTAGAACACATTCTTACTCCACTATCAGCTTAATGTCCCACCCCCCATCCCTTTTAGTTTTCTATTGCTGCCATGACAAATTATCACAAATAAAGTAGCTTAAAGACAATACCCACTTAGCATCCCACAGTTGTGTAGGTTAGAAGTCTAGGTATAATTTGGCTCAGCTGGGTCCTCTGCTTAGTCTCACAAGACCAGAATCAAAGTGCCAGCAGGGATGTATTCCTTTTGGAGGCTCTAGCGATGGATCTCCTTCCAAGCTCCTTTGGGTCTTTGGTGGGATTCAGTTTCTTGCAGCTGCAGGACTGATGCCCCATTTCCCTGGAGGCCGTTCTTTGCTCTTCAAGGCTACATGCCTTCCTTCTTGCGTTTGCCACGCACCCTCAGCATGGGTGGGTGGAGTCTCACATTTCGGATCACTCCAACTGCTGCCACATCTCTCCAACTCTAGCCAGTATAATTTCTCGACTTTCAAGGGCTCATTGATTAGATTGGGCCACCCAGATAATCCAGGTTAACCTCTATATTTTAATATTTGTAACCATAATTAGAGCTGGAAAGTCCCCTTTGCCATGTAATTTAACCTAAATATTTACAAGTCCCAAGGATTAAGGTATGGACTTTTAGGGGTCACTCTGTCTACCACATCTCCTTTCCTGACCATGGTATTTATACCACAGCCCAGCTCCCTACTTCCTACCCACTTTTGATTTCTCCTTTCTCTGCTCTATTTTTTAAGTTTTTCCACCACTGCTCTTACCACTTTATGACAAACCATATAATAAATATTTACTATGCCTGTTTCATTGTCTGTCTTCTCCTGATAGAAAACAGACTCCATTAGGTCAAGAATCATTGTTTTGTTTATTGATATTCCAAAGACTATCTGGTAGGCACTCAATAGGTATTTCTTGAATAAATAAATGAACTTACCCTTCCATAGAGTTATTTTTACTTTCAACAGTTTGAACATGCTAATTAGAATAAAGATTCTTAACTGATGATGAGGAAGATGGATAAATATCAAAAAATTGCTTTCTTAATATTTTCCCATGGCTGTGGTCAATAGCATCTGACTAGCTTAGTTCTTATTAATGAAGACTCATAGCAATGTATTTAATTATTGTTTTTATGAAAATAAGAACACTTAATTTTTATACTATTATCCAGGTATACAAGCAAAACAAATTGAGTTGTTGAGTTAATCTTGTCTCAAATGTATAGGAAAATAAACTAAAATAGTCATAAATACTTTTTTAAAAAAATTCTACAAATGCCTCTGGGATGGAAAACTGAACCATTTTTGTTTAAGGAAGTACTATCAGAAATGAGTGAGACTTGCTCAAGTTTAAGACCACTAATTGCCTTCAGCAAGTTTAAGGCTGGAAAGAGGATGACAAAACTATAAAGAAAAAAAAGAATTTTGGAGCCAAAAGCACTTTAGAAATAAAATTCACACTTTATAGAGGAGGAACCTGAGGCTCAGAGAGGGTAGGTAACTTGTCTAATCTCACAGCTCACCAGTGATGTGATACTTTGGATAAAGATTATTACAGGAGAGAGTGAAAATTAAACTTCTGTTATTCCTTTAAGCATTTACAATATTCACTTAATAAGCTGATTCTCTACTTCAAAGGGCTGGAACCAACACGAATGCTCACAGACAGTGAGACTTTGCCTACCAGCCTTGTTCTTGTCCCAACTGGGTCAAAATGTCTCATTTTGGGTGGAGTGTTCTGGACAGGGGCAATCCCAAAGAAGTATGGCCAAAGATCTTGCAATCAGAGTGATTCTCAGAGGGCTACATACGACATCACTGTACTGAGGACAAGCTTATGATAACACACACCGAGAAACCAGAAAGCTTATGGGGTAAAACACAATGGTGTCTGACTAGATTATCTATATGTTAGTAGGAAAAAGTGCAGTACTGCCTTCTTATCTGGGGTTTGCTTTCTGTGGTCTCAGTTACCCATGGTCAACCTCAGTCCAAAAATATTAAATGGAAAGTTCCAGAAATAAACAATTCACAAGTTTTAAATTGTGTGCCATCTGAGTAGTGTGATGATATCTCATGCGGTCCCTCTCTGTCGTGAATCATCCCTTTGTCCAGCGTAGCAACGCTGTCTGTGTCACCATTCTTAGTCACTTAGTAGCCATCTCAGTTATCAGACTGACTGTCACAGCATCACAGTGCTTGTGTTCAACTAACCCTTATTTTACTTAATGGCCCCAAAGCATAAGAGTAGTGATGCCGGCATATTGTTATACCAGTTCTATTTTATTAGTTGTTGTTGTTAATCTTTTACTGTGCCTAATTTGTAAATTAAACTTTATCATATGTATGCATACACAGGAATAATATATAGCATATATGGGCTTCAGTACTATCCACGGTATCAGGCATCCACTAGGAGCCTTGGAATGTGTTCTCTGTAGATCAGAGAGAACGACTGTAACTGTCAGCATAAGGATTTTGACAAAACCTGTAAGTACTTATAGATCTGGACTCGTTGCCAGCAGAAAGGCAAAAATGAAGTGAAGCATATTTTAAGGGAAGAATAAATAAGATATATTTTGAATAGGGTTCTCACACAAACACAAAAGACAGCAGGAACTGATGTGAAATAGTTTCTAAATTTACCACATCACAACCTTCTGCTTTTTGAATACCTACAACAGGAATGAAAACCAGCACAATAATCCAGATCTATATTTAAAGCAACAGCTCGTTTGTGTGGTATTTAAGACAATATTTCATTCACTTTTAAGCACTTAGCATTAAGGGGAAAAAATCAAGAAATTGGTTTATTTAGGCAACATCCAGAGAGTGATTCAATGGGAGAGCATCAGTGTTACACAGAAGGAGAAAATAAGTCTATTTCTGGAGCCACCAATCAACTTTCCTCACCATGGTTACAGGCTGTGTTTCATAACTTTCCAGAATCACAGATGATTCAAAATGACCTTGGTAATAATTTAGACCAAATCTCATGTTTTATACATGGGGGAAACTAAAGCTTAGAGAGGTGGGGCAGATTGTCTGACACCACAGACCTTTAGTGACACATCACAACCAGAACTCAAGTCTCCTCACTCCTAAGGAAAACTGTGAAATCACTTACTGCTGTAATCTGAATGTCTGAATTCCCCCAAAATTTGTATGTTGAAATCTTAACCCCCAAGGTGATGGAATTAAGAGGTCAGACCTTTAGAAAGTGACTGGATCATGAGAACATGATTGGGGTTAGTGCCCTTATAAAAGAGATGTCAGAGAGCCTGCAACTCCCTTCCACCATGTGAGGTCACAGGGATCAGGTGCCATCTGGAAACCAGGAAGTAGGTCCTCACCAGAGACCAATCTTCCCATACCTTGATGTTGGGTTTTCCAGCCTTAAAAACAGTGAGAAATAAATTTCTATTGTATATAAACCACACAGTTTGTGGTGCTTTGTTGTAGCAGCACAAACAGACTAAGATACTAACCTCAGGAAAAAAGGTACACTTTAATTTCTGTCTGGCTTTTATTGATTTGTAAACTATTTGAAATTGTTTCAGCAGTTAAAATCTCTATATGTTTCCACATGGTTGAGGAAAACCTTTCAAAACTACATTTTTATACTCATAACTTCAGTGCAACTTGAAAATATAGATGTGTTCAATATGAAAATATTAATGTGCTCAATGCTGACTCAGATGCTTCTTAGGATTGTAACTGTTTCCTACTAGGCAAGAAGGCCTAAGTGAAAAAGAACAGATAAACTCCATGCACTGTGCAGGGCTCTATGAAGTGTGTTATCCTAGATATTTAATGTTTATGTATATTCTTTGGTCTTTTTAACTTTCTTCCATTTTCATGTACATATGTATGTATATATGGAAAGATCTTATTAACTTGGATATTTGATAAGGGTATATCAGAATAGAAATTAAAGCAATACAGTTTTTATGTCATATTTTACTAAGTAGAATTCATCTTGAACCTCAAACAGCAGGTGTAGATTCTCAATACTTTACAGAGAAATCTTATATTCATTTATCTAGCATATATTATTATGTGTGTCTACTGTGTGCCAGGCACCATGTTATAAACTGAGATTTCAAAACATCACCTCCCTGCCTTCGCTGAGTGCACTGTCTAGCGGAGATAGGTATGAACAGATACCTTTCATGGCATGGAAAAATGGGGATAAAACGGAGGGAGATGACCAAGAATCATGAGGGTCAAGAGAGGATGTCTGGAAAAAGGAGAAAATTATCAATCAGGGTCATAAAAGAAGATTTTGCCAGGCAAAGAAGAGAAGGAATGTGTTTCAGATGGAGGCCATAGCAATTATGCAGAAGCAGAGATGAGAAGTGGAATGTCTTAGTCAGGCCCTGGCAGAATGCAAGACTCCACCTTCTCCACACCTGTATTCCTGCAGCCACATGCTAGCTAACCTCATTTTAAATCCATAATCACCTATCTCAGTAGACCTTAAATGCTGCCTAGCAATCAAACTTCATTTCCCTAGTGCAATACTCTCCCTTTCTCCCAAACCACTCTGTATGCCTCTTTACCTTTCTCTTCAAGCCTCCAATATTTCTTTCCTGATCCTTCATCTCAGCTAAGAAATGAATAAACTGCTCTCTAGGGAAATGACAAGTGATAAGGGTGGAAAAAAGCTTGGGTAGGTCAGCAGGATCCAAATGACACTCTGTAGATTTGGACTTTTTTTCTCAGACAAGGAGGAGCCAAAGACCTACTACCTCCACAAGAGAGGACTCTGGCAGAAGATTCCTAAGGGGCAAGAAGGGAGGTAGCGAGGGTCAGTGAGGAAATGAACGTGAATGAGAATCCAAATGAAGGCAGTGGCCATGAAGTAGACAAGATAACGTTAAGGAAATAAAATCAAAGTCTACTTTATAATGAAATAGTGGGTACATAAGGGAGAAGATTGCAATTTCTTAGCAGGAAAATTATATTTAATTTTAATCCACTGGTTTTAAAGTTTGTTTCTAAGAAATTGCAATTAGCATAATTTTAATATAAATAAAATTGTATTTTCTGCTTCTAGGGTCTTTCTTGTAATAATAATAAAACAATTAACATTTGAACTGACCTAAAGGCCTATGATTTATAGCCAATAGAATCATTCATCTGCCCTTAGCATTGAAAGATCTTAGGAATAACAACAGTTCTTTCATCAAGATGTTAAGTCACTCAGTTTTTAGGACAAGTAACTGTATATAAAATACTCTAATTTTTTTTCTAAATAATTGGCAAAGGAAAAATAAATACTAGAATTCTGACTACACAGAACTTTTTCAGGTACATATGTTTATAGGTAAACATATACATACAGATAGTAAGAAGTAAATATATAGACTTCTCTGAAGAAAACATGAAGCATTGAAGTTGTGTATATAACATACTTTCCCCAGGATCTCTTACTGAAAGGATGTAGAAAACAGAAGGACTCTGTGAATCAAGAGATACCAACTTTGCATTCATTTATCACTTCAAATCTCCTTCCTATATCAAGTGATAGCTGCAGAGTTTTTTAACGAAAAGACGATTTTTTTCTTCTTAGGTGTGCTTCTCTGATAGCAACCTCTACTTCACCTCTGGGAATCTAGTAGTGAAGAGGAATCCCTCCTCTATGGACTGTATCTACAAAGCAGGTGCATTCACATCATAAAAGCTCAGTAAGGTGCCTGTCAGATCACTACAAAATCTGCACATGAAGATCTTTATCTATCACAGCAAAAGTGTGCAGAACTTGTAACAGTGGTTCCCAAACCGATTTGCACATTAGTGTCGAATCTTATATATCTATCTTATATATGTATATATCATGCCTTGGCCCCATCCTAGACCAGTTAAATCAGAATCACTACAGATAGGTCCCAGATACCAGTATTTTTTAAAAGTCCCCAGATAATTCTAATATGAAACCAGGGTTGAGAACCACTAGCCAGGAGCTTCTCTGATGTGGTCTGCAGACCAGCTGCATCTCCTGGGAGACTTAGAAATGCAGCATCTCAGACCCCACCTGAGACTAACTGAACCAGAATCTGCAATGTAATGCCATTCCCAGTAATTCTGTGCACATTCAAGTATGAGAATCACTGGCCTAGCGATTCTCACTGGTCTTGCATTGAGTGGGCAAGTTCTAAATAATACTCATTACATGAAGTAAACCCTCACCTTGAAGATCACACTTTGATCCAGCAGTATAAATGTATATAAATGTAAAGCAGTCCCCCAGAAACCATCTGGGACAGCTCCCTATACATGGAAAGAATGTTAGAGGCAAGTCCTATCAATATATGGAGCAGGGCATTGGCTTGATGTGAAACAGTTACTAGTACATCCCTAGTTGAATCTAGGGAGGCAGGGAATGGAACTGGTGAAAGGTACAAAAGAAACTTTGTAACTTGACATTTTAAACATTTTAATTTGTTATATATATATTTATACATATAAATATATATATATATAAAATGTTTTTCCCTGAGGTCTAAAATATTTATTTCATCTACACAATAAACATTTCTTTTAGATATACAAAATTTCTTTCATTGAAAGTTCAATGCAACAAGACTTCTAACCTTGTGAAATCATGCAGTTTTTATATTCCTTCATCTCTTGCTTGCTAATCACCCTTCTAAGAATTCTCACCATAGACAACTAGTGAGCTATGAAAACTGCTGGTGATCCCAGTTGCAACCTGGCAATGCTGCTAACTGGTGAATGAATGCCTGGTGGACCACGGCTGTGAGAGTCGGAGCAAAATCCAGGTGCGATCAAATAACTTGAGGGCAACCTGAGTGTACAGCTGATTTAGCCCAAGAGGTAACATTAAAAGTAAAGAAATAACAAAATGGTTTTAAGTTAAAATTTGCTTGAACTTAAGCTCTAAAATTACTCCACAGGAAATTCAAGATAAGGTCATCAAAGTAACTACTGTCTGCAAAACATAAAGAAATAAATATTGAAGCAGGGAGTGGCCAAGATGGCTGACTAGAAGCAGCTAGGGTGTGTGGCTCTCAAAGACAGGAATAAAAGGGGCAAATAAATACAGCACCTTCAACTGAAACATCCAGGTGCCTGCACTGGGACTAATCAAGGAAACAACGTGACCCACAGACAACAGAGAAAAGCAAGACAAAATGATGGCCCACCTGGGAGCCACACGGAGTCAAGGGAATCTGCCCTGCCCAGGGAAGCAGTGAGTGAATGTGTGACCCAAGGAAACCACGCTTGCCCCACCAATCTTTGCAACCCTCGGGTTAGGAGAACCCCTCATGAAACCACACCACTAGGGCCTTCAGTCCGACACACAGAAATACCTGTATGTCCAGAACTATCTGGAGTCTTGGCAGAGCAGCCACTCAGGCACACACAGAAACCCAGCAGCTTTACATAATCCAGCTCCGGGTTTCCTGGCAAAAGTAACTACAACTTAGGCAAAGAGGCAGGTTAGACCTCCATACTTACCCCTAGGAAAGAGGCTGAATCCAGGGTGCTCAGCAGTGATGGTCAGCGGGCCCCACTTCCACAGCACCTCACAGGACGACACACTGGCTTGGAATTCCAGCCAGGCAGGACAACAGTGTTGCATAGAGCTATGACATAGTTCCTGGGGAAAGGGGTGGCTGCCATTTTTGCTGTTCCAGCTTTGGGCTTTGGAGAGTCCAAACCCATGGGGGCAGAAGGGATCCCCCAGCGCAGCACAGCTGCTCTACCAAAACACGGCCAGACTGCTTCTTTAAGCGAATCTCTGACCTATTCCTCTTCACTGGGTGGGAGCTCCCAACCCAGGCCTCCAGCCACCCCCCACTGATGTTTTCTGGCTGACAGAAATTTGAAAACCTCCGGCAAAGAGTTCCCAGAAGGAGGGGTGGGCCGCCGTCTTTGCTGTCTGGGTGACTTAGCTGTCCCAGCCTCATGCTTGGAGAGCCCAAGCCAACTAGGGGCAGAGGCGGTGCCCCAGCACAGTACAGCCGTTCTAAAAAATTTGGCCAAACTGCTTCTGTAAGCAGGTCCCCTATCTTGTTCCTCCTGACTGGGTGAGATCTCACAACTGGGGTTTCCAGGTACCTCCTACCTCTGTGTTCAGGCTGGCAACAGGTCCATACCTCCCTGGGATGGGGCTCCCACAGGAAGGGGTACACTGCCATCTTTGTTGCTTTGCAGTCTTCACTGGTGATACCTCCAGGTACTGAAAAGTCCAAGGCCACTAGGGACTGGAGCAGACCCCTAGCAAACCACAGCAGCACTACAGAAAAGTAGCCAGATTTTAAAAAGAAAAAAACAAAACAAAACAAAGGTCAGCAACCTCAAAAACTGAAGGTAGATAAGCCCACAAAGACGAGAAAGAATCAACACAAGAACACTGAAAACTCAAAAAGCCAGAGTGTCCTCTTTCCTCCAAATGACTGTGTCACCTCTCCAGCAAGGGTTCAGAACTGGGCTGAGGACAACATGGCTGAAATGACAGAAGTAGAATTCAGAATACAGATAAAAGCAAACTGTCTGAGCTAAAGGAGTACATTAAAACCCAAGCAAAGAATCTAAAAATCATGCTAAAATATTGCAGGAGCTGACAGACAAAACAGCCAGTAAAGAGTACTATAACCAACCTGACAGAGATGAAAAACACACTATAAGAATTTCATAATGGATTCACAAGTATTAATACCAGAATAGACCAGGTAGAGGAATCTCAGAGCTTAAAGACTGTGTTTCTGAAATAAGACAGATGGAGAAGAATAGAGAAAAAAGAATGAAAAGGAATGAACAAAACCTCCAAGAAATATGGAATTATGTAAAGAGACTGAATCTACCACGGACTGGTGTACCTGAAAGAGATGGGGAGAATGGAACCAATTTGGAAAACATAGTTTAGGATGTCATCCATGAGAATGTCCCCAACCTAGCTAGACAGGCCAACCTTCAAATTTAGGAAATGCAGAGAATCCCAGTAAGATACTCCATAAGAAGGACATCCCCAAGACACATAATCATCAGATTCTCCAAGGTCAAAATGAAAGAAAACATGTTAAAGGCCGCGAGAAAGAAAGGCCAGGTCACTTTCAAAGGGAAGACAATCAGATTAATAAAGGACCTATCAGCAGAAATCCCACAAGCCAGAAGAGATTGGGGGCCAATATTCAACATTCTCAAAGAAAAGAAATTCCAACCCAGAATTTCACATCCAGTCAAACTAAGCTTCAAGTAAAGGAGAAATAGATTCTTTCAGACAAGCAAATGCTAAGGGAATTCATTACCACCAGACCTGCCTTACAAGACTCCTGATGGACACACTAAATATGGAAAAGAAAGACTATTACCAGCCACTACAAAAATACACTGAAGTACACAGACCAATGACACAATAAAGCAACCACATAAACATGTCTGCAAAATAATCAGCTAACATCATGATGACAGGATCAGATCCACACATATCAATACTAACCTTAAATGTAAATGGGCTAAGTGACCCAATTAAAAGACAGAATGGCAAGCTGGAAAAAGAGTCAAAATCCATTGATGTGCTGTATTCAAGAGACCTACTTCACACACAAAGACACATATAGACTCAAAATAAAAGGATGGAGGAAAATCTATCAAGCAAGTGGAACGCAGAAAAAAAAAAAGAAAAAAAAAGGAAAGGTTGCAATCCTAGTTTCTGCCAAAACAGACTTTAAACCAACAAAGATTACAAAAGACAAAGGGTATTACATAATGGTAAAGGGTTTGAGTCAACAAGATCTAACTCTCCTAATATGTATGTACCCAACACAGGAGCATCCAGATTCATAAAGCAAGTTCTTAGAGACCCTCAAAGAAACTTAAGACTCCCACACAATAATAGTGGGAGATTTTAACACCCCACTGACAATGTTAGACAGATCATTGAGACAGAAAATTAACAAAGATATTCAGGACCTGAACTCAGCACTGGATCAAATATATATGCAACACTGGATCACAGA